AATGCAAGGATTATTATTATATTATTATGACTCTGACTCCTTATGAGATAGAACCTTATGAGATAGATAAGCATGCTGCAAGCACTTCACAAAATATACTGTAAAGTGGATTGACCATGTATGTTGTTGGTGAAACGTGGCAGTCAATTGCACATAGGAATAATCCATAAGCAGTTGTGGAATAAGTGACCACATTTTTTTTTGGAGGGATTATTACTGAGTAAACAGAGTTGTGTGGAGTAAGGAAACTTGCCTAAGGTTAGGCCCTGTCCAGGAATCAAAGCTGGGTCCTCTCGTTTGCGAAGCGAGTGCCCCAACAACTAAGCCCCAAAAATAGGTCGTTTGGACTGCTTTTAAGTCCCTTGCTTGTATGAGTAAACAAAAATGTGTAATAATTTGGGCACGGAATTCCCAATGTCTGCATCGTTCCTCAGAGGCACCACTGGAGTGACGTAGGCAACAGCCTGGGAGCTGTTAATGGTTTGTTTATGAGTCAGTTAGCAGCACACTTTCTTACCAGTGCTGAAAAAACACAGGCATTGGCTTAGTCACAGCAGTGCCGGGAATGGCTCTGGTATGCATTGTTTCGAGATTCTTTTTGATTTAATATGAAAAATATTTTGTGACTTACGTAAAGGGGCCAACAAAGGATCGAGTGTCAGGCCACATAAATTATTCATTGTCGGCGCCAGGGAGCTTGACACAGCTCGATCTTTCTACCCTCTGGAAGCAGCTTATTGTGGTATAATACTACTGTAATAATCCTTGCATTTGATATAGCATAGTCAATTGCACACAGAAGCGCCCCACAAACAGTCGGGGTTTGAGAGACCAAATTATTATTATTATTTTTTTTGAGGGATTATTACCCCCGGAAAGCGATCCGACAATCGACTAACAACCGGGTTCCTACATACTGCTGGGTAAACAGAGGCGTGTGGAGTAAGGAAACTTGCCCAAGGTTCTGCCCTGCCTGCGAGGCAAATATGCTGTCGACTGCACTAACAGGATACAGAGCAGGGAGATGGCAGGAGGCAAAGTCAAGGTAGACTTTTGGAAAGGGCTTTGAACATGGAGTGGGAGCGAGCACGCCAGAGGGATTTAGGGAGACAGATCCAGAGAGCAGGGCAGGGAAGAGGAAAGGGGAGGGAGGAGGGTGTGTATGTGTGTGCGTGTGAGGGGGCAAAGTGGCTGGAACCAAGCAAGGCGTCTGTACAGTTGTATTGCTGGTGACTGCCTGCAGGGGGCGCCTCACTGGCCCGGGAGCAGCACTCAGCACTGAGACCCGTTGCCTCCGTGACCTCCAATGGCCTGAAATAGAAGCAATTGGATCAAGTGTAGCCCGGAGGACGCCAGCCAGTCACTGCAGCAGATAGAACTCGCTGACACTACGCTTCCCCCCGCTCATACCCTCTTACACAGATCACGCTCGCCCACACTTCCTTCATGCTATTGTGCCGTGGTGTAGCGGTTAGAGCACTCGCTTCGCAAGCGAGAGGACCCGGGTTCGATTCCTGGCCAGGGTGAAACCTTAGCCAAGTTTCCTTACTCCACAAGCCTCTGTTTACCCAGCAGTAAGTAGGAACCCGGTTGTTAGTTGATTAGTGGATCGCTTTTCCCGGGGAAATAATCCCTCCCCCCGCCACCCAAAAAAAAATTGGGTCACTCAATTCACAACTGTTTGTAGGACACTGCTGTGGGCACAATTGGCTACCACATCAATGTGCCACCATCAATGGGACTGAGGGCAACTGGGCAAGTTAAACAGTACAGTACATGCAATCTCCTCAGTCTGAGAAAAATAATGTCAGCCAGTTGCTTCCCCCACCCACTCCCCCTTCACCATCCACCCCCAGCTCACCAGCCACCAGCTGGCCAGCCATCTCTCTGTCACATCCCGCCCCCACACCCCCCATTCCTCCCCCCCCCCCCAAGCCAACACATCAGGGAAGGCATTCAACTTTGAGGGTATGATTCACCAAGTACTTGTTTTTCGCTTAACCACTGGGTTAAGGACATCCAATGCTTCTGGCTAATAATTGCGCTTTGTTCCTTCAAACCTCTGGCACAGTGAAGTCCTTTCCTGAGACACTGAAGGGACCACTGTGTTGCAACTTTGCACTCTGTCATATTCTCGACCAACTCTGCCGCCTTTTATCACTGTGAATGAGGCATTAGCATAAGTTAGAATATCATTCCCGCTGCGTTCTTCCTGAAACTTAACCATTCGAATCCTGCGATTGATTGCCAGGTGCATGCGCCAACGCAGAAAAACAAATGCCACAGCAACTTGATGATGGTAATAATAACCCTTGCATTTGATGCAGCACCTTATCGGGATACACTGAAAAGTGCAGTGACTGTGTTTTGTGGGCGAAATGCGGCAGCCAGTTTGCGCACAGCAATGCCCCACAAACATTGTATGTCAGCGTCGAGATGTCTCTGTGCATTGTCAGAGGCGCTGTCCTTCTGATCAGACGCTAAACTGTCTGCCTGTTCAGGTGGGTGTTAAAGATCTCACAGCGCTATTCCAAAACGAGAAGGGAGTTTCTCTCCTGGTGTCCTGAATAAAATTAGATAGAATTAGTCACTCATTTCATGGGATGTTTGCGGAAACGCTGCCTTGTGCAAATTGACTGCGGTGTTCGCCAACAAAATACACTGTGATACACGCCAACAAAATACATCACCTGCCTAAAACAATTTAAAGCTTCTTGTATAATAATATTTCGCCCACAAAATATACAGTCAATTCACTTTACAGTATACTCTGCGAAGCGTCTTGAAGACATGATAAGGCCCTATGTCAAATGCAAGTATTATTATAATATTATTATTATAATAATAACCCCTGAGTTCAGGCAATGTCTATGACTGAGGTAACATCAAAACGTAATAATCATAATAATAATCCAAACATAACTTCAAAACATCTCAAAGTGCTTCACAGAGCTTTTCTACAAAGGGTAGCAGTGACTGAGTACGTGGGTGAATGCTGCAGCCAATGTTTTGTGAATATAAATGTCCCACCAACAGCCAGAAAGCGAGTGACTAATTTTATCCGTAAGATTGTTGGCCATGACACGGAGAGGAGACAAACTCATTACGCTTTACAAGGAAAGTTGAGACCCATGTACAGTCCTGTAGTGTTGTGGTTAGAGCACTTCCCCCCAGAGGCGAGAGGACCTGGGTTTGAATCCCAGGCGGGGCGAAACGTTGGGCAAGTTTCCTCACTCCGCACGCCTGTGTTTACCTAATCGTAAGTAGCGCTTTGAGACATCTCGAAGATGTGATAAGGCGCTCTTATCAAATGTGAGGATTTAAACTCTCCGAGACACCGTCCGGGGCGAAGGGTGCTATATAAATGCAAGTTGTTGGTGCTTATTATTAATTATTATGAATTATTATTGTTGTCAGGATTATTATTATTGACGTTGATGAGAAGCTGTATTAAATGCAAGGACTGCACGGACAGTCTTCCCGATGAGACGTTAAAGCAAACTCCCGTTCTGTGCCTATGCAGATGGACATTAAACATCCCGCTGTGCTGTTGGAAAAGCAGGAGGGAATCTCAGCTCTCTCCCCCCCCCCACCCCACCCCACCCATTAAAATCAGTCATTCACTTTGTGACTGTTTGCAGGAAGTTGCCGTGAGTGAAATTGGCTGCCGCGTTTGCCTACACAAATACAGTAAAATCCTGTGACGCACTTTTGAGACATTCAGACGACTTGAAGGGTGGTGTCTCCGATATTATTACTATAATAAATAATAATAAGCACCGCACAGATTATTGGGGTTGAGCGGCCTATACCGCTGCTGTCACGGTCTGCGTCATTCTGTGGATGTTGTTTCCTCAAATGTTGTAGCCAATACTAAGGTAACTGATACCAGGCATCTGATGCAAGGCTTCTCTCCAGCTGGTGTCTGCTCTGTTATCTTGGGCAGGGAAGGAGAGCTTTCAGTTGGTCCCAATCCCGAGTTGTCGTTCCCCCGCTTCTGCTTTAAGAGCTGAGGGAAGGAGAGGAGAGGAGGATTGGCCGCACTCTATCCCTTACAGCAACAATAAAGTTACTTTTGTTCGGCACCTTTTAAGTCAGGAGGTCCCCCCAAAGTGTGGGACAGCCAGGGGTCCACACCCGAGCTGGTGGTTGGGATCAGGAGGGGGTGGAGGGCGGGGGGGGGGGGGGCGGGGGTAGGAGGGTGACCGAAGGCACGGTCGAAGAGGAGGGTCTTGAGACGGGTCTTGAAGGAGGCGAGGGAGGGGGCAAAGCGGAGTTCCAGGGTGATGGGTTGGGGGCAGAAGGCCCGCCCGCCAATGGTGGGGCGGGCGAGGCAGGGGACGTGAAGTAGGCCGGAGCCCGCTGAGCGGAGAGAGTGGACAGGTTGGTAGGTCCCTCACAAAGATGGTTAGGAGGTCGCAGAGGTCGGGGGGAGCAAGGCAATGGAGGGCTTTGAAGGTGAGGACCAAGATCTTGAACTGTATCCTCTGCGTGATGGTGAGGCAGTAGTGTCCGGCGAGGATGGGGGTGAGAGGGTCTCGGAGCCTGGTGGGAGAGAGATCACGGGCTGCAGAGTTCTGGATGATCTGCATCCTCTGGCGACAGGAGTTGGGGAGGCCGACAATCAGGGAGTTTGGGTAGTCGAGCCTGGATGGAATGAAGCCTGGACGAGGGTCTCGGTGGCCTGGGGCGCGAGACAGTGGCGGTGACGGGCAATGTTGCAGAGGTGGGGAAAGGTGGAGCGGTCACGGCACGGACGTGGGGGAATGAACGACAGTTGAGGGTCGAACAGGACGACGCCAAGTCTGTACTGCCTCCGTGAGGTGGAGTGTGCATCCACGAAGGACGATGCTGTCAGCGCCCGAGGTACGTGGACGTTGACCCCACGTCTGCAGATGCTGTCACCAAGAGGGAGCATATAGACATGGAAGAGGAGGGGAATCAAGGACAGAGCCCTGGGGAACGCCGCGGGTGATGGCGCGGGGGCTGGAGGGGAAGCCGTTAATGGAGGAGACGGTGGGAGAGGTAGGTTTCGAACCAGGCAAGAGCAGGTCCGTGAAGGTTGAGCTGAGAGGAGAGGCAGCGGCGGAGGCCGGTAGTGCGGTCGACACTATCGAAGGCCACAGAGAAGTCGAGGAGGGCAAGGAGGCAGAGAGAGAGAGAGAGAGAGAGAGCGAGAGCCTCGGTCGCAGATGGACAGAAAGTCGTTCGGGACTTGGACCGGCGCACGGAGCAGAGAAACCCGACGGGAGGGGTTCACGGAGGGAACGTGGAGCGGAACCTCCCCCGTTTTAGCCACGTTTCTCCGAAAGCCCTTTAAAACGCGCGTTATTTTCGCCGGGGGGAAAAAAGAGAGAGAACGGAAGCGGCCGGGAACGCTCGGCGGGTCGGGTCGGGTCAGGTCAGGCGGTGTCTGCGCAGAGCGGGTTTAACCTGTTCAGGTCCACGACCTTTTCTCAGAACCAAACGTTGAGCGACTTTCCGCTCTCTCTTATCGCAAAAGCAGCGAATCGGAACGTTTTAATTGGGTTATTAGTTAATGAGTTGTTTAATCACTTCCATCTCTCTCTCTCTCTCTCACACTCATATTCTCTCTCTTTTTCCACCTTTTCTCTCTCACTCTCTCCCCTTTTTTTCTCTCTTCTTCCTTCCTTCTTTCTTCCTCCTCTCTTTCCTCCTCTCTCCCTCCCAACTTTCTTTCTCTTTATTCCTTTCTTCCTCATTTTTCTCTTCCCCTCTTTCATCTCCTCGCTCTCTCTCTCTCTCTCTGCTTTTCTTCCCCTCTTCTTTCTCTCGTTTCTTTTCCTCTATTTTGTTTTCTCTCTCTCTCTCTCTCTTCCTCTCCTCTTTCCTCTCCCCTTCCCTCCTCCTTTCTTCCTCTCCCCGCCTCCAGGCGTTTCTCTCTCTTTATTCCTCCACTCCCTCTTTCCCGCTCTCTCTCCCAACCCTTAAAGACGGGGTCGATCACAGGAAGAATGTAAGTGATTGCCTTGAGAGTGGGTGAGTGTGAAAGAGAGTGAGAGTGTGTGTGAGTGAGTGTGTGAGTGAGTGAGTCTCTCTCTCTCTCTATTTCCTCCCTCCCTTCTTCCAACTCAGTCACAGGAAGGATGTAAGTGGGAAGTGATTGCGGAGTGTGAGTGAGAGTGTGTGAGTGAGTCTGTGTGCGTGAGTGAGTGTGTGAGTCTGTGTGTGAGAGTGAGTGAGTGTGTGAGTGCGTCTGTGTGTGAGTGTGAGTGAGTCTGTGTGTGAGAGTGAGTGAGTGAGTCTGTGTGTGTGAGAGTGAGTGAGTGTGTGAGTCTGTGTGTGTGAGAGTGAGTGAGTGAGTCTGTGTGTGAGAGTGAGTCTGTGTGTGTGAGTGAGTGAGTCTGTGTGTGTGAGAGTGAGTGTGTGAGTCTGTGTGTGTGAGAGTGAGTGAGTGAGTCTGTGTGTGAGAGTGAGTGTGTGAGTCTGTGTGTGTGAGAGTGAGTGTGTGAGTCTGTGTGTGTGAGAGTGAGTGTGTGAGTCTGTGTGTGTGAGAGTGAGTGTGTCTGTGTGTGAGAGTGAGTGTGTGAGTCTGTGTGTGAGAGTGAGTGAGTCTGTGTGTGAGAGTGAGTGAGTCTGTGTGTGTGAGAGTGAGTGTGTGAGTCTGTGTGTGTGAGAGTGAGTGTGTCTGTGTGTGAGAGTGAGTGTGTGAGTCTGTGTGTGAGAGTGAGTGTGTGAGTCTGTGTGTGAGAGTGAGTGAGTCTGTGTGTGAGAGTGAGTGAGTCTGTGTGTGTGAGAGTGAGTGTGTGAGTCTGTGTGTGTGAGAGTGAGTGAACCTGTGTGTGTGTGTGAGTGTGTGTGAGAGTGAGTGTGTGTGTGAGTGAGTGAGTCTGTGTGTGAGAGAGTCTCTGTGTTGAGTGAGCCTGTGTGAGTGAGAGAGTGAGCCTGTGTGAGTGAGAGAGTGAGCCTGTGTGTGAGAGAGAGAGTGAGCCTATGCGTGTGTGAGAGAGAGAGCCTGTGTGTGTGTGTGTGAGAGTGTGAGCCTGTGTGTGTGTGTGTGTGTGTGTGAGAGAGAGAGCCTGTGTGTGTGTGTGTGTGTGAGAGTGAGTCTGTGTGTGTGTGTGAGCCTGTGTGTGTGTGTGACTGTGTGTGAGAGAGAGTGTGTGTGTGAGAGAGAGAGTGAGCCTGTGTGTGTGTGTGAGAGAGAGAGAGTCTGTGTGTGTGTGTGTGTGAGAGAGAAAGTGAGCCTGTGTGTGTGTGTGTGACTGCGTGTGTGTGTGTGTGTGTGTGAGAGAGTGAGCCTGTGTGTGTGTGAGAGAGAGAGAGAGTGAGCCTGTGTGTGTGTGTGTGTGTGTGAGAGAGTGAGCCTGTGTGTGTGTGTGTGTGTGTGTGAGAGAGTGAGCAGCGCTGTGTGTGTGTGTGAGAGAGTGAGCAGCTCTGTGTGTGTGAGAGAGAGTGAGCCTGTGTGTGTGTGTGTGAGAGAGAGAGTGAGCCTGTGTGTGTGTGTGTGAGAGAGAGAGTGAGCCTGTGTGTGTGTGTGTGAGAGAGAGAGTGAGCCTGTGTGTGTGTGACTGTGTGTGTGTGTGTGTGAGAGAGTGAGCCTGTGTGTGTGTGTGTGAAAGAGTGAGCCTATGCGTGTGTGTGTGTGTGTGTGTGAGAGAGTGAGCCTGTGTGTGTGTGTGTGAGAGAGAGTGAGCCTGTGTGTGTGTGTGTGTGTGTGAGAGAGAGTGAGCCTGTGTGTGTGTGACTGTGTGTGTGTGTGTGTGTGTGAGTGTGACTGTGTGTGTGTGTGAGAGAGAGTGAGCCTGTGTGTGTGTGTGAGAGAGAGTGAGCCTGTGTGTGTGTGAGAGAGAGAGTGAGCCTGTGTGTGTGTGAGAGAGAGAGTGAGCCTGTGTGTGTGTGTGTGTGTGTGAGAGAGTGAGCCTGTGTGTGTGTGTGTGTGAGAGAGAGAGAGTGAGCCTGTGTGTGTGTGACTGTGTGTGTGTGTGTGTGACTGTGTGTGTGTGTGTGTGAGTGACTGTGTGTGTGTGTGAGAGAGTGAGCCTGTGTGTGTGTGACTGTGTGTGTGAGTGAGCCTGTGTGTGTGTGTGTGTGTGTGAGTGTGACTGTGTGTGTGTGTGTGTGTGTGTGAGTGTCTCTCCTCAGTATTACGCCGATGTTCTGCGCATTATAACCTCAGAGGAGAGTTAACGAAGTAAAGAACCAACTAACGATTTATCCCCAATAGAAAACAGTGAACTTATCCCTTTATTCCCCCCCACACACTCCCTATTTTACAACATTTGCAAATGTAACCTCTGTGTGTATGTGGTGTGTGGTTTTTTTTATTAAAAAAAAGGATCTAAAGTTTATTTTGTAAGGAGAGAGAGAGAGAGAGAAGGAAAGAAAGGAGAGAAAGAGGGAGTGGGGGAGTGAGAAAGTGGATGAGAGTGATGAGGATGAAGAGATTTCGATGGAGGAAAGTTCCTTCAAAGCCATTCTGGTCACAAGTTGATTTTTAAAAGATTTTAAAAGAAAAAAGATTTCTTTTAAAGTCTCATTAAAGATTTTCAAGAAAAGATTTCTTTTAAAGTCTCATTAAAGATTTTCAAGAAAAAGATTTCTTTTAAAGTCTCATTAAAGATTTTCAAGAAAAAAAATTCTTTTAAAGTCTTATTAAAGATTTTCAAGAAAAAGATTTCTTTTAAAGTCTCATTAAAGATTTTCAAGAAAAAGATTTCTTTTAAAGTCTCATTAAAGATTTTCAAGAAAAAGATTTCTTTTAAAGTCTTATTAAAGATTTTAAAGAAAAAAGACTTATTTTAAAGTTTTTTTGGGGGGAGGATTGGTTTTTCAAAACGTTTCCCCCCAAAAAAAACAAATTAAAAGCCTTTTTTGGGGAGAAATGCCACAAAATGTTATCATATTTTTTTCTCTTTTTTTCTCCTCCCAAAAAAATCTGTTCAGATTTCCCTTTTTTTCCCATTCCATCCAATTTCTGTGTTTTTCCCACTCCCCCCACCATATGTTATGATTTTTTTTACAAAAATATATATATATACACATAAAATTGGGTTTGAAAGGATTTCAGAATTGAACAATTATCACACAAAAAAAATCATGGAATGACTTCATTTGCAGATCAGACCGTTAACAATTTAAAGGCTTCTATTTATTATACAGTATATATGTGTATATATATGTATATTTATTGCTGGGAAAGGGGTGGGGGCTTTAGAGGGGGTTTGTGCGCTTAATTTGTACACATTTTCCCCCCAAAATCTTAAAAGACTCGAGAGGGCTTTTAAGTTTTTCAGATGTAATGTTTCCTGATAAAGTGCATTGCTTTCCTCCAACCCCTTTCTCTCTCTCTCTTTCTATTACCCCTCCCTTTCTCTCCTCCCTCTCCCTCCTCTCCCTCCCTCCTCCATCCCTCCCTCCCAAGCAATCTCCACCCTGTCTGAAGAGATGCTCTTAACACTCTGCTCTGCCTGTGTAGGAGTGAGTTGGGTGAGTGTGTGAGTGAGTGAGTGTGAGTGAGTGTGAGTGTGTGTGTGGGGTGGGGGGTTAGATTCTCAAGGCAACAAGTTTGGTTTGGTCGATTTAGTTGCAATCTCTTCCCTTTTCCTGGTTGCTGATCAACAGAGGTTACAGGGAAATTGGAGGTGATGTATCACTTTATTTTTCTTCGCAAGGGAAATCTTTCTTTTTTTATAAAAAAAGACCGCGTTCAACTTTGGGAGCGGAGAGAGAGAGACAGTCACTGCACTCGATGGCGTTTACAGTCAATCAAATCAATCCATCAAATCAATTGCCTTGAGACATTTGCCCAAAGTTGTGGGTTGGATCATCTGCTAAGCCACACGTAGACTCAAAACGAGACGGAATTATCTGAGCTCTAAAGCTGTTATAATCAAACTTGTATTACTGTAAATTACTGTGCGATCGCTCTAACTTGTGCACGTGTTTGTCGATTTGCAGAGTAACTCTCTCCAGCTGAGACCCGGTGGATTTTTTTTTAATCGATGAGGGCAACGGGTATTTTAAAGCCCTTTTTTATTTGTGGGTTGATGTGGAGTGTTCCGTGTGTGGTAAGAGGCAGTCCAGTGCAGAACTACAGGATTTAGTGGGTTTGGCAGGAAGAACAAAGCAAGGACATTCCACAATAAACAGTAATATTCCCCTGATGGAAATGCAGAAGATGCCTTGCGTTAAGGCTTTAAAGTAAGAGGGACTGATCCTTTAGATATTTTTTTTAAAAAAAAGAGGAATTCTAGTTTTATTTATGAGGGAGTTGGATACAAGAGAAACAGGGGGAAAATTATATTTGGCTCAGACAATAGTTCATAATAATAATAATCCTTACATTTGATATAGTGTCTTATCACATCGTTGCGACGTCTCAAAGCGCTTCACAAAATATGCCGTAAAGTGTGTATTTTGTGGGCGAAACGCAGCAGCCAATTGCGTACGGCGGTGTCCCATAAACTGTCATAGAGCGAGCGACTCCATTTTTCTTTCCGCTAGGAAAACAGGGGCATATGGAGTAAGCAAACTTGCGTAAGGTTTTTGCCCCGCGTGATTTCAGCCACTTGGAAAATCCTCCCGACGTGAAAGGCGCTAGACATCAACACAAGTTGCTGTGGTTCTCATTGCAGTGACTGTGTGTGTGTGTGGGCTGAAAGCTGGTTTGGAAAAGTTTGCAAAAACAAATACTCGGCAGAGATTAGACAACCAGGTCCAGGGCACGTGTAGTCTCTGAGAGCCGGAGGTCATTCGGGTCATCGTCCACACCAAAACGGCAAGAAAGATCTCTTCTTATTACAGCAGCGCAGGATTTTATACACTGAAGTGGGCCGTTCAGACCCTCGACCCCATGTAGTGATTCGCCGATGGAAACACTCCCTTTAGTCTCCTTCTGCTCCCCTTCACTCCCCCACTACCACGGGTTACGGGTGAGGTTTGCGGGTGGACCTATGGTCACCTCCTTCCCTCAGTAGTAAAAACTCTGCGATGTGATTGCCCTTCTATTTGATATGGCTCCTTATCACGTCATTGAGACGTCTCAAAGCGCTTCACAGGATGTGCTGTAAAGTGGAGTGACTGTGTATTTTGCAGGTGAATTCGATGTGAAGTGGATGGTGCTTTAGATGTGTGAGTGTGTAGTTGGGTGTGTGTTTTTTGGTAACAATTTTATTCTCAAACCCACAGATGTCGAGCTACAAACGAGCAACGTTTGAGGACGATGAAGTGACAGACGTCGCCCCAGACGGTGTCGTCTCTCCAGACAGAGTAGAGGTCTGTAGCTGACTCTCGCACGCACTCTCACTCACTGCCAGTGGTGTGACAATAATAACCCTTGCATTTGATCGCGTCGTTGAGACGTCTCAAAGCGCTTCACAGGCCGTACTGTCAATAATAATAATAATAATCCTTGCATTTGATATAGCGCTTTTCACGTCAGGAGGACGTCCCAAAGCGCTTCACAGAACATACTGCAAAGTGAATTGACTGTATATTTGTGGGCGAACGCGGCAGCCAATTGCGCACAGCAATGTCCCACAAACAGTCGTGGATTGAAAATGACCAATTTATTATTGTTTTTGGTTTTGGAGGGATTATTATTAGGCTCTGTGTGGAGTAAGGAAACTTGCCCAAGGTTTCGCCCTCTGCCTGGAATTGAACTCAGGTCTCTCACTTGCAAAGCGAGTGCTCTAACCACTGAGCCACAGGACTCAAGTAGAGTGATTGCGCATTTTGTGGGCGTAACGCGACAGCCAATTGTGCACAGCAACGTTCCACAAACATGCGTGGATTCGGTGACCAAATTCATTTTCCCACTGAGCCGTGGTATTTTCCCTTCCATCCTTCACGTCTGTTTCCTTCGATTTGTACAATGAATGTCGTTGTTTTTTCTTTCTCTCTCTCCCTCTCTTTCTCGCTCGCTCTCTCTCTCTCTCTCGCTCTCTCTCGCGCTCGCGCTCTCTCTCTCTCTCTTTCTCTGCAAGTTGTTTTTTAAGATAGGGGTGTGTGGCCTTTCTGACTTCAGTAATCTTTCGTAACAATGTACACAGGAAAGTGCTGTTCACTCAAGGGCAATCAAACACAGCCAGATTGTATCCCGTGTTTATCCGTCGCCTTTGGCTATTCATTTGACCAGATTCTTTGTTTTGCGAAGTAATAGTAAAAAAAAAGGGGGCACATTTTGTTTTGTAAAAAAAACATGTTTCTTTCTCCTTCCGCAAAAGCATGCTCTCTATTGTGCGAGCGAGTTTGTAAGGAGAATCGAGGATTTCTGCTTTTACAGTTTCCTCCCACAACAAAATTCCTTCTTCTGTTTCCTTTCCTACCCAAACCCCCACCTCCTTTCCTTCTCTTTCTCCATCCCAGCCTCGCACAGAATTCACAGCTGTTTGTGGGACATTACTGTGTGCAACTTGGCCGCTGCATTCACCCACAAAACACACACAGTCAATGGGCTTTACTGTAAAAGGCTTTGTGTCCTCTCGATGCGAAAGTTGCCAAACCTTTCATAGTGTAAGGGTTATTAAAATCCATGGCTTGCCCATTTCCTGCATTATGTATGTACTTGTGAAAAGCACGGACCTGAGAGGCTTTGGCTATCTGAATAATAATCCTTGCATTTGATATAGCGCTCTTCACTATTAGATGCATTTTTTATATAGAATATATTATATATTTTTATACAGAATGCTATGTAAATGCAAGTATTTGTTGTTGATTTGATTACAGTTAAGATCTGCTCATTTAAGATAATTGGCAAAAGAACCAGAGGGGAGATGAGGCGAATCTTCTTTACACAGAGAGTTGTTACTGTCTGGAATGCTCTGTCTGACAGAGTGGTGGAAACAGATGCAATAACATTTTTCGAAAGGGAATTAGATAGGTACTTGAAAAGCAAAAAATTGCAGGGATATGGGGAAAGAGCGGGGGAGTGGGACTGATTGCGGAACTCTTCCAAAGAGCTGGCTCAGGCACGATGGGCCGAATGGCCTCCTTCTGTGCTGCAATATTCTATGATTGCAATTCCGTTCAACTCGCTGTTTGTTCTTCACCAAAGCCTTGACAACGAGTCGAGAAGGAGAGCGCACTAGAGTCTGGCTGTGTGTATCTAAGTGATTGCTCTCAATTCCAGAGACTGCATCAACCCACGCAGTTGCAAAGGAAGTTAATTTGTACACGGATTTGGCATTTATCACATGAATGGATTTGCGAGAGGCTTGGGGAGAATATCTCTTTGTTTCCCTTATAACCAAGCTTTGGACTGATCAGTTGATACCTCTGCTATAAGCTGTGACAATTGTCCAATTCTGAAATCCGTTCAAACCCAATTTTAAAACCAATTGCTTTCTCTGATGCTTCACTGTTTCTGCAATCTGCAAAAATATGCTTTGCTCCCAGATCAGTTCCATATATTTCCATTAAAAGTTTACGATGCAATAAAGCAATCTATACTTTTGCAGATAACGCAAGTGATATCGAACAATTTACATAGTTTGCAGTCAGACTCGGTTCAAAAAGTTTACAATTATTCACATTATTGATTCATTTAACATGTTTAAAATTTTAATCAGAGGATCGAGTTTAAAATCCTCGTCCTTGCCTTTAAAGCCCTCCACGGCCTTGCTCCTCCCTACCTCTGTGACCTCCTAAAGCCCTACCAACCTGTCCGCTCCCTCCGCTCTGCAGGCACTGGGCTGCTCCATGTCCCCCGCCCTGCCCACTCCACCATCGGTGGTTGGGCCTTTAGCCTTTCTGCCCTCACCATCTGGATCTCCATCCCAGAGTCCCTCCACCTCGTCCGCTCCCTTGCCTCCTTCAAGGCCCATCTCAAAACCTTCCTCTTTGGTCATCTTCCCACCACCACCCACCTTGCCCTCCAACCCTACTGACTCCAGCCCACAGTTCACGTACAAACCTTGACTATCCAGCATCTGCCTGATCAGATGGACCTCAAGGATCCCACAACACAGTTGGAAGAGGGAGCAAATGTTCTCTTGGTTCCTGGGCCAACATTCCTCCAGATTGATGGATGATTGTTTGATGGATGATTGATTGATTGATTGATTGATTGATGGATGATTGATGGATGGATGATTGATTGATGGATAGATGGATGGATGATTGATTGATTGATTGATTGTTGGATGGATTATAGGGGATGGATGGTGGAGGATGGATAGATGATGGGATGGATGGAGGATTGGATGGACGGACGATTGACTGATTGACTGACTGATTGACTGACATTGGCTTCCTGGCTGTCCACTGGCCGAGACTGCAAGCTCACATTTCCTGGCATAAACTTGCAATCGCAGACCCAGAGAAGAACTCGCCAACAACTGAGCCAGGCATTGGCAGAGGTTGAAAGAAGCAATCTGAGAGAGAGAGAGAGAGAGAATGATGGAGGGAGAGAGTGAGGGAGGCAGGCAGGCAGGGAGGGCAGAACCTGAAAAATAAAAAGGTTAACCACCATGAATTTTGGAAGCCACACTCTAATCAATAGCAGACCCCGTGTGACTGACAGTGATGTTCTCCAGAGCCATTTGGATCAGATAACTCGGCCACAAGGCGGATGACGCACAGGGGGTAGGATCGTGGCTGAGTGTCTGTTTAGTGTCAGTCAGCAGTTTTGTTTGTGGGGAGGAGGGGGAAGGGAGTGAGGGAAGAGGGGAGAGGGAGGTCCAGGTAAACAAACCCAAAGGAAAAGGTTTTGTGTTCAAAAGCGTGAACATCAGTGGGTTTGACACGCATGTTAATTGCATGTTTGACACGCATGTTGACACACGAGTGAGCTCGCTCGCTCGCTCGCTCACTCTTGGAGATTTTACTTCATTATTATTGGTTAGCGCACTCGCCTCGTAAGCCAGAGGACCCCGGTTCGATTCCTAGTCTAGGACGAAACCTTAGGCAAGTTTCCTTACTCCACACACTGTTTACCCAGGAGTAAGTAGGAACCCGGTTGTTAGTCGATTGGCGTATCGCTTTCCGGGGGTAATAATCCCTTCCAAAAAACAATACTAACAATAATTTGGTCACTATGTCAACAACTGTTTGTGGGACCCCGCTGTGCGCAAATGGCTGCCGCATTTCGCCCACAAAATCATCGTCACTCCACTTTACAGTATATTCTGTGAAGCGCTTTGAGATGTCTCAACGACGTGATGAGGGGCTATTATCAAATGCAAGGATTGTTATTATTAATCAATCGATCGATCGCTTCAGCCATCAATGCCCGGGCTTCGAGCAGCTTTGAGTAAAGTGCGCCTTTTTGGTGGGAAACGTCTTGTACAAAATCGCACGCCATCAAACTCGTTCCACTTAGTGAAAGACAAATCATTTTCATCCAGTTCTCTTCTCTTTCCACCCCCCAACCCCCCACCCTACCCCACCTCTCCCCTCCATCTCCTCCCTCCCCCACTTCAAAATCCACTTGGTGTTGAGAAAATGCAACGCGCTTTAACAATTTGGTCACTCAATGACACGTGTGTGCGTTGTGCTAATGCGCACCTAATTTGGTCGCTGAATCCGCCACCGTTTCGTGCGCTTAACTGCTGTGCGCAGTCGGCTGCCGCGGTTCGCCCTCGAAATGCACAGTCACTTCACTTTGTCAATCTGTGATGCCCATTGAGACGTCTCGAAGACGTGGGAAGACTCCATACGCAAACGCAAGGATTATTAATATTATCATTTTACCGTAACTTGTTTTTGTTCAATAAAAAAAACTACGTCTCGTTTTTCCACCAGATGGGGTTCAGGAAGGGGAAACCTCGCTCTCTGGGGCCAATGGGGATGAGGACCCAGTTGGAGGTCAGCCTGCTGGCTGTGCTCCTGGTGGTGGTGGTCGCTCTGATCGGCTGCGTTATAACTCTCGGGATCAAGTACAGCCACGGTAAGCTCCAGTGTGAGTCAACAAAGTATTCACCTCAGTCACCGTCTTAAAGGTGAAACCCCTGTAGCTTAGTGGTTGGAGCACTCCCCTTGTCAGCGAGCGAGAGGACCCGGGTTTGATTCCCGGGCGGGGAGAAATCTTAGGCAAGTTTCCTTACTCCACGCGCCTCTGTTTACCTAGCAGTAAGTCGGAACCCAGTTGTTAGTCCATTGGTTGATCGCTTTCTGGGGTTAATAATCCCTTCCCCCCCCCTCTCCCTCAACACCCGCCCCCCACCCCCCAATAATTTGGTCACTCAATCCACGGCTATTTGTGGGACGCTGCCATGTGCAATTAATTGCCATGTTTTGCCCACAAAATACTGTCACTCCATTTTACAGTACATTCTGTGAAGCGCTTTGAGACGTCTCAACGACGTGATAAGGCGCTATGTCAAATGCAATATTGCTATTATTATCGTTTGGTTTGGACACTCAAGCGTAGCACAGGGTTGTTGCGTGCGCTTAACATAGGAACACAGGAACAGGAGGAGGCCATTCAGCCCCTCAAGCCTGTTCCACCATTCTATTAGATCAGGGCTGATCTGCACCTCAACTCCAATTACCCGCCTTTGCCCCATATCCCTTGATCCCCTGACCTAACAAATATCTCTCCACCTCCGTCTTGACAATATGAATGAATCCAGCCATAATCTACAGCCTTTTGGTGGGGGGGGGGGGGAGAGAGAGTTCCAGATTCCCATTGCCCTTCGCATAACAAACTGCTTCCTGATTTCACTCCTGAATCGACATCTTAATTAGATTGATTAATTACATCAACAAAACAAATAATAAAATAGTGTGTGTATTATGTATATCTCTTGCCGCCCCCCCCCCCACCCAGATCCTTCTCACGATGTGTGTCTGACGGAGACGTGTATCGTGGTGGCGGCAAAGATCACGGAGTCTCTGGACCGGACGGTGGAGCCGTGCGATGATTTCTATCAGTACGCCTGCGGGGGGTGGATCAGGAAGAACCCGGTGCCAGATGGCCAGTCCCGGTGGAACACGTTCAACGGTCTTTGGGACCAGAATCAGGCCATCATGAAGCACCTGCTGGGTAAGGGGCAGGGGAGGCGATGGCTCTTACTGTCTGTGCCCAAAGCACGGGAACCCATGGGCTCATTGCGCTCGCTGACAGTGTGTGTGTGTGTGTGTGTGTGTGAAAGAGAGAAATGTGTGTGTATGGGGCGTATGGTGTGCTTATGTGTGTGAGAGCGAGAGAGAGGGAGGGAGAGGAACCCCAGTGAACTGGCTGGGAACCCCAGTGAACATTCACCTGCAAAACGCAGTCACTACACTCTACAGTTAAAAACCCTGTGAAGTGTTTTGGGACGTCCTCCTGGCACAGAGGGCGCCAAATGTAAGGATTATTTACTTTAGGAAAGCCCTCAGCGTGATGTTACAAATACCCTAATGAAAGTCAGTGAAACCTTGGGCCAGTTTCCTTACTCCACCTCGCCTGATAATAATCCCTCAAGAAAATAAAACAATAATAAAATTGGTCACTTCAAACCACGACTGTTGGTGGGACTCTGCTATGCGCAATTGGCTGCCGCCTTTCACCCTCAGACATGCAGTCAATTCACTTTACGATCGATTCCGTGAAGCGCTTTGAGACGTCTGGAAGACGTGAAAAGCCCTATGTCAAATGCAAGGATTATTATTATTATTAAAGCGCTTCACAGCATTTACTGTGAAACGCAGCGAGCGCGTGTTTTGTGGGTGAACTCAGCAGCCGAATCGTCAGTCCCTCCGCCTCGCCCCCCCCCCCACCCCTCCCTCGCCTCTGTCAAGACCCGTCTCAAGACCCTCCTCTTCGACCGTGCCTTCGGTCACCCTCCTACCCCTACCCTCCCCTCCCTCCAACTCTCCTGATCCCAACCACCAATTGGGGTGGGGATCCCTGGCTGTCAGCGGCTTTGGGACGCGAAAGGCACTGTGTAAATGTCCTTTATTGTTGTTGTTGAGCCAGGCATTGGCGGTCTGGAGAGAGACTTCAGTGGTTTATGAATTCTGTACGCAGGGGGTCGTCTCATTTACTTTCCCGTCTCATTTTATTACATTCAATTAAACCTTGTGCCCCATCCTTTGTTTGTGGGGAGGGGGAGAGGAGAGGAGGGGATTGAGGTGGGGGGTGGGGGAGAGAGCAAAACGATTGAATCCATTGCTTCCGGCAACTGTGAAAAGCTCTCTTACACGGCTTCACAATGCAGCGCTTGTTAAATTGCTGTGTTGCTTTTCTTTTTTTGACTTGAACAAGCGAAGGAAGACGTGACTAGAGTTTCAGTGGGATGTTGGGGGGGTGGGGGGGGGGTTGGGGGGGAGTAAGCAGCTGCATGGTTCTCTCTCTCTGTGTCCTGCTGCCATGTCAGAGTTTGAGGTCACACATGTGTAGGCTTTGTCCCTGGTTTTAAAGCTGCTTCACGGACGTACACAGACTAGAATGGTGTGCGTGTGTGTGTGTGTGTGTGTGTGTGTGGTGGGGGGAAAGGGGTAAAGAAATGGCGTCATATCAACTTGCACTAAACGTGGTACAGATTGTCGCTGTGAATCTGCCGTTCCCTGTGCCACATACCACATTTACATACATACATACATATATATGGTCACCTCCCCCCTCCTCGCAGCTACTGTCGAGCACTCTTGAGACGCTCCCCTTCCTGAGGGGGCGCTATCTAAATGCAAGTTGTTGTTGTCGGCACAGTTACGGACACGAGGCTTATTATATTTACGCAGTGTACGTAGAAGAGACGTCTCTGAGGGCACTATACGGCGACGGGTTTGGACGCCAGTCTCGAAGCTCCTAACCTCTGGAACACCCTTTCTGTACCCCTCCCCCGCGCCCCCTCCGCCTGCATCATCCCAATCAGTCTTTAACCTGGGGGTGGGGTGAGGGGGGGAAAGATGGAGGCAGGGATTAATCTGTCTCGAATACCCAACGGGGTGAAAGATGTCCCAATCCTATACACGTTCCCCCAAAGCCGTGCTGATGGCCTGAAAAGAGCAGGTGACTTGACTCGGGGGCACTTTTTGCACTGGGGGAAAATCTCCCCCCCTCCCCCCGCGCCCCATTTCGTCGTTGTTGCCGGGGCTCAGCTTCATCTGTGTTCTTTATTTTGTTCCCGCTGCTTGGCTACGTGCATGGTCTGTGATGCAGGATGCCACAGCGCCACAGTCAGCCGGCGTGGCTGCCAGGTGTAACTGCAGGGAAAAACGCAAGACAGTAAATAACTCATGAACGATAGAAGATACCCGAAAACAAATACGCCCACGTCACTCCCAGGTGCAAGACCTATCCGATGAGACATCAATCTAAGTCGGTCGATTATTTCGATCCTTCTTGAAGCGCAGACGGACATTATTGTTGTATTATTATAGATTCTTAATATAGATAGAAGATAGAGAAAGATATAATTGGGTGTACGTGTTTATACATGTGTTGGTAATTATTGCTCTGCAGTGAGCTGATGGGATCAGTTCCTTGTTCCCATCTTGTGTTCCCATTTCCCCCCCCCCCCCCCCCCCCACACACACACACTCACACACACTCACACACCTCCTCCTGCTTTGACTCACCCGCTTTTGGGAATTTACTTGGCACAAACAGCAGCTTCCTTTTATGGAAACAAAGCTGGAAAAACAAGATCTGTCTCGCTGCCGTGTGGGCGTCTGTCGGTCTGTGTGTGTGTCTGTGTCTGTCTGTGTGTCTGTCTGTCTGTGTTTGAGTCTGTGTGTCTGTCTCTGCGCGTGTGTCTGTCTGCGTGTGTGTCTGTCTGTGTGTGTGTCTGTCTGCGTGCGTGTGTGTCTGCGTGTCTTGTCTGCCTGTGTGTGTATCTGTGTCTGTCTGTATGTGTCTGTCTGCGTGTGTGCCTGTCTGCGTGCGTGTGTGTCTGCGCGTCTTGTCTGCGTGCGCGCGCGTGTGTGTGTATCTGTGTCTGTCTGCGTGTGTCTGTCTGTCTGTCTGTGCCTGTCGGTTTACGCTTGCATTATGTGTGTTTGTACTGTATGTGTGCGCGTGTGTGCGCGTGTGAGGGAGTGCCTGTACGTGTGCACGTGTCTCTGTCTGTGCGCGTGTCTGTCTGACCCCCTCACTCTCTCTGCCCTCGCTGTGTGGATGCGATGGGATCGGTTCACTATTCTTTTTTGCCTCTCGCAGAGAACTCGACTTTTAACTCGAGCAGTGAGGCCGAGAGGAAAGCCCGGCGTTACTACATGTCCTGCCTGAACGAGCAGAGAATCGAGGAGTTGGCAGCTCAGCCTCTCATCGACCTCATCAATAGGGTACGAGACGCTCTGAGACGCTACCCCTGCGTGGAGGGCGCTTTATAAGTGCAAGTCGTCGTTGTTGTTGTTGGTATGGTCACTGAGGATGGTGGGGTTTGGGGGGAGCGGGCTCGATGCTTTATTACACCTTTCAAAGCCCTCCACGGCCTTGCCCCTCCCTACCTCTGCCACCTGCTAACTCCGCACACACTTGTCTCCTCCCTCCACTCCGCTCAGTGGGCTCCAGCCTTCTCCGTGTCCCAGTAGCGGTCGGGCCTTCAGCCTCTCTGCCCCCACTCCCATCCCACAACCCCTTCCCCTCGCCCCCTCCCTCGCCTCCTTCAAAGCCCATCTCAAGACCCTCCTCTTTGACCGCGCCTTTGGTCACCCTCCTACCCCTGCCCTCCACCCCCTCTAGATCCCAAACCCCAGTTCAGGTGCAAACCCTTAACTGTCCAGCGCTAGTGGCTGGCTGCCGAGTTTAGCCCACAAAATACACAGTCACTCCACTTCACAATATATTCTGTGAAGCGCTTTGAGACGTCTCATTGACGTGATGAGGCGCTAAATCAAATGCAAGGATTATTATTTGTTGTCGTCTAACCCTCACTCTCTGTCTCTGCCTGTGTGTTTGCCTGTGTATCTGTCTGTTTGTCTGTCGGTGTCTGTCTCTGTCTCTGTTTATGTCTGTCTGTCTGTGTGTGTGTGTGTGTGTGTGTGTGTGTGGTTGGTTGGCTGTCGAGCTGCTGATGAGGTTGTTCACATTGAGTCGTTGTTGTCGTTGTTCACATTGAGTTGTTGTTGTTGTTCAGACAGGCGGCTGGAACATCACGGGTCCCTGGGACAAAGACAACTTCATGGAGGTGTTGAAGGTCATCTCCGGCACCTACAAAGCTGCCCCGTTTTTCACCGTCTACATCAGCGCCGATTCCAAGAGCTCCAACAGCAACGTCATCCAGGTGCGGAGTCTGCCTCGGGCTCCGGAACATTCCCTGGTGTTCGCTCGCTTCGCGGCCACTGGGTGGGGAACGGGGGTCAAAGCTGAGCCACGCCACGCAGATCAGCTGCCGCCGCCGGCGGAAAAAAAAACAGTCACTTACATTTGACAGCAGGGGCCGGGCCAACCTACTGGGACCTCGATTTAACATCTTATCTAAAAGGATCAATAGGTCCGCCCGCGCGTGTTATGTGGACCCGGGTGCGTCCAGGAGCGAGGCACATGTTTTTGTGTGTGTGCAAATGAGTGTGTGTGTGCATGTGTGGGGGGGGGAGTTACGAGTATTTGTGTGCGTGTGTGTTTGTACGAGTGGGTGTGGGCATATTCGTACATGCGTGTTCGTTTGTTTGCGTGCGTGTTTCTACACGTGTCAGTAGCGGTGGCTCTGTGGTGAGGCGATTTGATTTGTTCTTGACGAGTCGGGTTACAGTGACACAGGATGTGACTCTCTCTCTCTCTCTCTCTCTCTCTCTCTCCCACCCCCTCTCTCCCCTCCCCCCCCTCCCCCTCCCCACCCAGGTTGACCAGTCGGGCTTGTTCCTCCCATCTCGTGACTACTATCTCAACAGAACAGCCAATGGCAAGGTAATAACAATAACAACAACAACAATAAAATGACATTTATATAGCTCCCTATCACGTCGGAACATAGGATCAGGAGGAGGCCATTCAGCCCCTCGAGCCTGTTCCTCCATTCTATTAGACCATGGCTGATCTGTACCTCATCTCCAATTACCCCCTTTGCCCCATTGCTCTTGACACCATTACAAGCGGTGTTGGGGGGGGGGCGGGGGAAGGGGGGGAAGGGAATTCAGAGATGCAGTTCCAGATAAATGTCCATAATAATAACAATAATAATATTAAAATAATAACAATAATAATAATGTACAAAAGCTGCTTTCACACTAGTTGCAAAAGGAGCCATTCGACAACCCAACTAGTCCGTGTTGCCCCCACCCGTCCCTTGCCTCGATCAAGGCCCGTCTCAAGACCTTCCTCATCTACTGCGCCTCATCAGTCGCCCTCTTACCCCCTACCCTCCCTGTCGTCCACCCCTCCTGATCCCAGCCCCCCAGCTCGGGTGCAAACCCTTAACTGTCCAGCGCCTTGGGACGTCCTCCCGACGTGAAAGGCGCCGCGTAAATGTCGTGCGTTGATTTTTTTTGTTTGTTTTACGTCCGTACGTGTATTATACAAACCGAGATCTCCTTAGATTTGGCTAATATTGAGTTTTGAAAGCCCCTGTTACCCAGTGTTCGAATATTTCAGTGGTAGCACTTTGAGAAATTCAAACTTGGATCAGAATAAATTGTGGTTGTGCAACGTAGAGCGGTTCTGGCCTTCCACACACAAGATTGCTGAGTAATAACAATCATAACACTAATACTCCTTGCGATTGACACAGCGCCTTATCACGTCTTCGAGACGCCTCAAAGCCCTTCGCAGACTATACTGCAAAGTGAATTGACTGTATTCAATTTGAATACAGTAGGAATATAGTCATCCTTGAAGCCACAGCAAAGGTGCTATACAAATGTAAGTTGTCGTTGTTGTTGTTGTGTTCGGACACACAATGAGCCCTATTGGTGTGGCTGTTTACCCTCTTTACTCTCAGCTTGTGTTTGGCTCGGTGCCCATTCGCACTGCAGCCTCTCGGCGTGGCCGGTCACACAATGCGCCTCAGTGATGCCTAATGGACTGTCGCTTCTCTTTAGAACAAGGCACAATGAACTGAGCGCTGGCGTGAGTCAGTCAGAGGACCTTCAGCCTCTTATGAAACATTTCTGTGGCTCATTTGTTCCAAGCTGCTCGCTCGCTCGCTCGCTCACTCACTCTTGGAGATTTTACTTCATTATTATTGGTTAGCGCACTCGCCTCGCAAGCCAGAGGACCCCGGTTCGATTCCTAGTCTAGGGCGAAACCTTAGGCAAGTTTCCTTACTCCACACACTGTTTACCCAGGAGTAAGTCGGAACCCGGTTGTTAGTCGATTGGCGTATCGCTTTCCGGGGGTAATAATCCCTTCCAAAAAACAATACTAGCAATAATTTGGTCACTATGTCAACAACTGTTTGTAGGACCCCGCTGTGCGCAAATGGCTGCCGCATTTCGCCCACAAAATCATCGTCACTCCACTTTACAATATATTCTGTGAAGTGCTTTGAGACGTCTCGACGATGCGATAAGATGCTGTATCAAATTCAAGGATTATTATATATTATCGGCCACAACAGACAAACAGCTCGGTTTAGCCTCCAGCCCTGAACTGAGCACCACTAACCTCTTCTACGTCGATAGACTCATAGAATTGTAGAATCTTACAGCACATAAGGAGGTCATTCAACCCATCGTGCCAGTGCCAGCTCTTTGGAAGAGCTACCAACTAGACCTACTTCCCCCCACCACCCACCCCCCAACTCTTACCGCATAGCCCTGCAGATTTTTCCTTATCAAATACCTATCCAATTCCCTTTTGAAAGCTACTATTGATTCAGCTGCCACCACCCAAACCCAGATGCTCCCAGTCTAAGCTTTTGATCTGATCACATAATAATAATCCTTGCATTTGATATTAGCGCCTTTCCACGTCTTCGAGACGTCTCAAAGCGCTTCACAGGATAGACTGTTAAATGAATTGACTGTATACTCGTGGGAGAACCGCAAATTGCGCACAGCAGTGTCGCACAAACAGTCGTGGATTGAGCGACCAAATTGTGTTTAAAAAATTACATGGTGTCCTTCACACTGCTCCATGTGAGTGGTGCTATATAAATGGATGTCGCTGTGGTCGTCATCGTTGTTGTTGTCGTTGTTGTCATCATTGCCGTTGTTGTTGATGTCTCTGATCTCCTCCCAGGTGCTGGAGGTGTACCTGGATTACCTGGTTGACCTGGCTGTGCTGCTGGGAGGAGAGCGTAACTCCAGCCGCCTGCAGATGCAGCAGATCGTGGAGTTCGAGACGGCCCTCGCCAACATCACGGTGCCTCAGGACGAGAGGAGGGACGAGGAGAAGATTTACCACAAGATGACCATCGCCGACCTGCAGGCAAGTACAGCAGCTGCCCACTCCACCTGCCAGGCCCTCAACTCAGGACCCGGGAGGGGAGGGGGAGAGTGTGGGAGGGCAGAGTGAGGTTATGGTGACTTGGGTTGGTAGGGAGTGAGGGCAGTGGGGGGGGGGGGTGGGGGGTTCAGGATTGGGTGGTATGGGGGGTCAATGTTTGATGTGCGTGACGTGGGTATTTTGCGCTCATTATGTGTGTATACAGTGGACTTCTCGGGCTGAATGGCCTGTTACCATCCTCCAATGTCCTGTGTGACTCTGTGTTCATACCTGCAATGATCTCCAACTCTCTCACAACTGAAGACCTTCCTCTTTGACTGTGATTACGGTCACCTCCTCCCTCACTCCATCTCACCAGCTCGGCATCAGGCTTCCCCACTGTTAAGCGCTCCGAGACTCTGCCTTGGGACATCCTCGTGACATGAAAGGCACTGCGTACACGTCATTTGTTGTTGTTGTTGTTACTCCTGTAGAATCTCGCGCCGGCCATCGATTGGATGGACTTCCTGACGTTCGCTCTGTCGCCCCAGGAACTGAACGACACAGAGCCTGTGGTTGTGTACGCCAAGGAATACCTGGAGCTGGTGTCTGAGCTCATCAATAACACCGACAAGAGGTGATCACATGGAACATAGAAACAGGAGGAGGCCATTCAGCCCCTCGAGCCTGTTCTGCCATTCTACGAGATCATGGTTGATCAGTGACTCAACTCCAATTACCCGCGCTTGCCCCGTATCCCTTAATACCCCGACTTAACAAATATCTATCCACCTCTCGCCTCTTGACTCATTAGGTAGAGAAGTTGTAAAATTGCACCCAGTCACATCCCTTTTACAGTGTATCAGATGCAGGGGTGATTATTATTTATTATTTGTTATTTATTATTATTGTTGTGACCTTGTGTTTCTCTGTTGAAATGGCTCAGCGTTTTGAACAATTACATGATGTGGAATTTGGAGCAGAAAACGGCCGGCAATCTGGACAAGCGCTTCGAAACCGCTGAGGAGGAGCTCATGCAGATTCTGTACGGCACCAAAAAGGTGAGATCGAGGGGTTGGACGTGTGTGGGGGTGGGGTGGCGGTGGGAGATCTGGCTGGTGGGTCCTCTCGCTTGAGAGGCGAGTGCACTAACCGCGAAGTTACGGGACTCCCTGTCTGTCTGGCGCTGAGGGACGCTGCCCTGTGTGTATAAATGCAAGTTGTTGTTGTTGCCTAAGAACCTGCCTCTTTGACCTTGCCTATAACCGTCTCTTTGTTAAACGCCCGATGCCTTACAGTCCTGCAAACCTCGCTGGCAGACGTGCATCTTAAACACAGACGACACGCTCGGTTTTGCGTTGGGAGCCCTGTTCGTGAAGGCGACATTCGACAAGGACAGCAAAGTGATCGTAAGTATTCGCTCATTTTCAACCCACACGGAAAGAACAAGAATTTGCAGGACGAAAGAAGCCCAAGGTCCATCCAGTTCACCTTCCATCAAACTGGCAGTCGCTTGCACATCTCATGTCCCAACTTATATACCTATCCTGAGATATTGTTTCCTAACAGAAATCTATCTGATTTGCTTTTGAAAGAATCAACACTTTCTGCTTCCCCAGGGAGCCTGTGCTCCCAGTGACCTACCCACACAGGCATCTTGCTATGGACAGCACAGGGACAGATAGGAGGAGGCCATTCAGCCCATCGAGCCTGTTCCACCCATTTATCAGAAATCAAAGCAAGGGGTATGGGGAAAGGGCAAGTCAATGGAACTGAAAGGATTTGCTCTTTTATAGAGCGGACACAAATGGTCTTCTGTGCTGTAAGTTTCTACGGCTCTCTTAAATCCCATTTCCCCAAGTTAAACTGAGCTCCCCTTCTGCGCCCTGGTCAACATTAAGGATCCCATGTTGCTGCTCGAAAAGCAAAGGGAGTTTCTCTCTCTCTCTCCCTCTCTCTCTCGGCGTCCTGGCTGACAATCCCCCCTTCCTCTCCTCCCCCAGATAAAATTGCTCATTCGCTTCACGGATGATTGCGGTTTCCATACGCAAGTTGGCTGCTGCATTCGCCTACTATGCCACACAGTCACTATACTTTCAGTAAAATCCCGCGAGATGCTTTGAGACGTCCTCCCGACGTGAAAGTCGCTGGATCAAACGCAAGTATTATTTAGGATGATCTTTTAGAACAACGGAACATAAGAAGATAAGAATTCCTGGTGGAAAGAAGACCAAGTTTGCTTCCCACCATCCTTGCAGTCACTTGCACGTGTCATGTCCCCAACTATACACTGTATCGCGAGATATTATTTCCTAACAGAAATCTAACCAATTTGCTCTCGGTGATTCCCAGGCAGAAGAAATGATCAATGAAATCCGGACGGCCTTTAAGAATGGACTGGATAAGTTGGTGTGGATGGACGACCAAACCAGAGGAGCTGCTAAGGAAAAGGTAATTTGATTTCTGCTCTGAACTCTTCCTGGTTATTCAGAATTTGTGGTTCGTAGAGTTTTTTGACTTCCACCCCACGACTTGCATTTATTTAGCGCCCTTCACCCGGGGTAGCATTCTGGAGCGCTTGACAGTGGCAGAGTCTGACCCCGAGCCAGGGGGAGAGATGGGGGGAGAGGCGACCGTAAGCACCATCAAAAAGAAAGGTCTTTAGGTGGGATTTGAAAGTGGGGAGAGGGATTGAGTTGGGGGGAGATTTCAAATGTTAGAGGGTGGGCAGAGGAGTTGGATATGAGTAAGTCAGAGTGGTAATAATAATAATAATGATCCTCGCATATGATATAGCGCCTTATCATGTCGTTCAGACGTCTCAAATCGCTTCTCAGAATATACCATAAAGTGGAGTGACTGTATTTTGTCGTCTAAACACGGCAGCCAATTGCGCACAGCAGCGTCCCACAAACAGTCGTGAGTTAAGTGACCAAATTAATATTTTTTGAGTGGATTATTGTCCCCGGAAAGCAATCCGCCAATCGACTTACAACCGGGTTCCTACTTACTCCTGGGTAAAATAGAGGAAATAAACTGGCCTAAGGTTTCACCCCACCTGGGAATCAAACCCGGGTCCTCTCGCTTGCAAGGCGAGTGCTTTAACCCCTACACTACCGGGACTCCATGCATTTAGCTGCCCTTTATTGCTGCGAGGCAGAGAAGCAGCAACATTCCTGATAGTTTCCAGGACCAAACATGACGTCAATTGGAATAGGTTTCTTCCAAATATTTAGACATTCTTTTATTTAAAAAAAAACAACCAAACAAAATTTAAATGGCAGCTGCATTTCAGACCGAGATACAGGAAGCGTGAACTCGATAAAGCCATCAAAGGACTTTGCATCTCAATTTGTTTGTTCTGGTTCCTTGTGTCATCAATCGCCGAGATCATGGGAAAAATGAGCCCGGCTTTGTCAGTTGACGGCAAAAAAAACAATCCAGATACTTTCCCGGGGGTAGGGGAGGAGGAATCTGTAGCAGGAAAATCACCAGGAGAGGCTCAATCTGAGATCTCCTTGCACCAGGAGCTTACATTGTTCCTCAGGACTTTGGAAGCAACCTGTTGGCATCTAAGAATTCCATAGCGTAGCGGTTAGCAAGCGAGGGAACCCAGGTTCGATTCCCGGGCAGGGCGAAACTTTAGACAAGTTCCCTAACTCCACAGGCTTCTGTTGACCCAGCAGTAAGTAGGATCAGTAAGTAAATCGGTTGTTAGTCGAATGGCGGATTGCTTTCTGGGGGTAATAATCCCTCTTAAAAAAAAAAAGAAAAGGAGAATTTGATCACTGTTTGTGGATTGAGACACTTGCTGTGCGCGATGGGCTGCTGCGTTTCGCCCACACAATATACAGTCAATCCACTTCACAATATATTGTGTGAAGCGCTTTGAGATGAAGTAGCCGCACACGCCCTCTGAACGTTGGCTTAAAATAAAAAGAACAAATTTAAAAAAGGAAAAAAAAACTTCTGATTTGCCCCGTGTACCTACACCCTCTCGAGTCCTTCTCTCTGACGTGTTACCATTCCTTTGGCATTAACCAGAAGGTCAGCACAGCATCAAGCAGGAGGCAGCTGTTGCCGTCACGTAAAGTATTGGTTTCCTTGCTTGCTCGAGCTCGCTGAGGTAACGTAACCTAGCCCGAAGGTTTCAGATACACTGACGTTCCCGCCCGGGGTAGAGTTACAGCCTCACATTTCAGCTCATGTGGGGGATGTAGCCTGAAATTATCGCAATGAAACGGTTAAAAGCATTCGCCAGTCGCGCATATGTGGAGTCCCCGCAGCGTAGTGTTAGAGCGCTCGCCTCGCCAGCCAGAGGATCCGGGTTCGATTCCCAGGCGGGTCCGGGCAAAACCGTGGGCAAGTTTCCTTACGTCCACGCGCAAGTCTCCGGCAGTAAGTAGGAACCCGGTTGTTAGTCGATTCGGAGATCGCTTTGTGGCAGTAATAATCCCCTAAAAAAAAACACATTTGGTCAGTTAGTCCATGATTGTTTGTGAGACGCTGCGGTACTCAATTGGCCGCCGTGTTTTGCCCACAAAATACACAGTCAATTCTGTGAAGTGCTTTGAGACGTCTGAACGATGTGATGAGGTACTATACCAAATGCAAGGATTATTATTCTTATTGTTGAGCACAGTTATATCTGTTCCCCCCCCCCGTCCCCCCGTCCCCCCACACACATACGCACCCCACACCTGGGTTACAGTGGGTTACAGTGGGGGGAGGAGCCTGGGTTGCAGTGGGGGAGGAGGAGCCTGGGTTGCAGTGGGGGGCGGACCCAGGGTTGCAGTGGGGGGAGGAGGAGCCTGGGTTGCAGTGGGGGAGGAGGAGCCTGGGTTGCAATGGGGGGAGGAGCCTGGGTTGCAGTGTGTGGGAGGAGCCTGGGTTGCAGTGGGCGGAGGAGGAGCCTGGATTGCAGTGGGGAAGGAGGAGCCTGGGTTGCAGTGAGGGAGGAGGAGCCTGGGTTGCAGTGGGGGAGGAGGAGCCTGGGTTGCAGTGGGGGAGGAGGAGCCTGGGTTGCAGTGGGGGAGGAAGAGCCTGGGTTGCAGTGGCTGGGAGGAGCCTGGGTTGCAGTGGAGGGCGGAGCCTGGGTTGCAGTGGGGGAGGAGGAGCCTGGGTTGCAGTGGGGGAGGAGGAGCCTGGGTTGCAGTGGGTGGGAGGAGCCTGGGTTGCAGTGGAGGGCGGAGCCTGGGTTGCAGTGGGGGAGGAGGAGCCTGGGTTGCAGTGGGGGGAGGAGCCTGGGTTGCAGTGGGGGGAGGAGGAGCCTGGGTTGCAGTGGGGGGAGGAGGAGCCTGGGTTGCAGTGGGGGGAGGAGGAGCCTGGGTTGCAGTGGGTGGGAGGAGCCTGGGTTGCAGTGTGGGGAGGAGCCTGGGTTGCAGTGTGGGGAGGAGCCTGGGTTGCAGTGGGGGAGGAGGAGCCTGGGTTGCAGTGGGGGGAGGAGCCTGGGTTGCAGTGGGGGGAGGAGGAGCCTGGGTTGCAGTGGGGGGAGGAGGAGCCTGGGTTGCAGTGGGGGGAGGAGGAGCCTGGGTTGCAGTGGGCGGAGAAGGAGCCTGGGTTGCAGTGGGGGAGGAGGAGCCTGGGTTGCAGTGGGGGAGGAGGAGCCTGGGTTGCAGTGGGGGAGGAAGAGCCTGGGTTGCAGTGGCTGGGAGGAGCCTGGGTTGCAGTGGAGGGCGGAGCCTGGGTTGCAGTGGGGGAGGAGGAGCCTGGGTTGCAGTGGGGGAGGAGGAGCCTGGGTTGCAGTGGGTGGGAGGAGCCTGGGTTGCAGTGGAGGGCGGAGCCTGGGTTGCAGTGGGGAGGAGGAGCCTGGGTTGCAGTGGGGGGAGGAGCCTGGGTTGCAGTGGGGGGAGGAGGAGCCTGGGTTGCAGTGGGGGGAGGAGGAGCCTGGGTTGCAGTGGTGGGAGGAGGAGCCTGGGTTGCAGTGTGGGGAGGAGCCTGGGTTGCAGTGGGGGAGGAGCCTGGGTTGCAGTGTGGGGGGGGAAGGGGTGGAGGAAGCCGCGGTGAACATGATCAGCGCTGGTCGGAGCTCCCAGGGCGTCTGGCACCCGCTGACATCACTCCCTGTTTGCGCACAGCGCGCAGGAAGCCGGCGACTCTGTTTATCAACAACAACAACAACAACCAATGAAACGCGTAGAGCGTCTTTCACGTCAGGAGGACGTCCCAAGGCCCATTATCAGAGTGAAAGGGGAGACTTTTTGATCTGGTGCCTCATGGGTTATTATGATCATGATTATTATCAGTGTGTGACCTGCTCTGGAAACCAATGAGACTTTAATTATAACTCACGTGTGTGTGGCTTCCCCCACCTCTCCTCTCCTCTCCTCAGGCCGACGCTATCTATGACATGATCGGCTTTCCAGACTTCATCTTGGACGTAAAGGAGCTGGATGACGTGTACGATGGCGTAAGTAAGAGAGTTCCCCACCGGGGGGTGCGGGGGTGAGGGGGGAATTGGGAATATGACTGTATCGGCTCATTCAGTTAATTTTTCCCATTGTAGTCATTCCCATATTGTCTTGACCTCGTCCAGTCCAGCAGCAACAACGACAACAACGTTATAGCGCCTTTCTCGTCGGGAGGACGTCCCAAGGTGCCGGACAATCAGTGTTTTAGACCCGAGCTGGGGGAGGGGGGGGGGGTCGGGATCAGGGGAGGGTGGAGGGCGGGGGGTGGTGGTGGGAGGGAAAGTAGGGTGATCGAAGGTATGGTCAACGAGGAGGGTCTTGAGACGGGTCTCAATTTGAAGTGCTCTGAGACGTCGTCCGGCGTGGAGGGCGCTATGCAAATCCAAGTTGTTGTTGTTGTGGCTCTTGAAGGAGGCAAGGGAGGGGGAAACACTGCATTGTGAGAGTTGTCACCCTTTGGAAGTGACGCTAAACCGAATCCACCCCCACACCCCCCACCACCCTGTCCGTCCGGCAATCCTTGTCCTGTTCAGGTGGACGTTAAAAGATCTCCCACTATTGGAAAAGAGAAGGGAATTTCTCTCAGAAGTCGCTGGGAACACGCAGCAGGTCAGACAGCATCTATGGAGAGAAGGGATTTCTGGGTCCTTACATTCAAATCCCTTCTCTCCATAGATGCTGCCTGACCTGCTGCGTGTTCCTAGCAACTTCTGTTTTTATTCCAGGTTTCCAATATCTGCAGTATTTTGGCCTTTCAGGGAGTTTCTCTCTCCCGTTGTCCCTGCTGACAATCCCCCCCTCCTCTACCAGATAAAATCAGCCACTCACTTCACTCTCTTTGCAAGACATTGCAGCAATACTAATAATTATAATAATCCTCGCATTTGATATAGCGCTTTTCCACGTCTTCTGGACATCTCAAAGCGCTTCACAGAATATGCTGTAAAGTGAATTGACTGTATATTTGTGGGTGAAACGCGACAGCCAATTGCGCACAGCAGCGTCCCCACAAACAGTCGTGCATTGAGTGACCAAATTTTTTTTATTTTTAAGGGATTAATACTCCTGGAAAGTGATCCATCTGGCAATCGACTAACAACCGGGTTCCTACTTACTGCCGGGTAAACCAGTAACTTCTGCCTTTTTGTTTCCTCTTTCAGTACGAAGTATTGGAGGATTCTTTCTTCCAAAACATGTTGAATTTCTACAACTTCTCAGCCAGGGTCATGGCTGACCAGCTCCGCAAACTACCCAACCGTGACCAGTGAGTACCGTGGGGGCCGCTCCTCACAAGCCAACCATTCAGGCCATTTAGGAGTAAAATCAGGAGGCAGCTGTTCACCCAAAGGAATCTGGAACTCTCTCCTCCAAAAGGCTGTGGATTATGGCTGGATCCATTCACATTCACAAGGCTGAGGTGGAGAGATGTTTGTTAGGTCAGGGTATCAAGGGATATGGGGCGAAGGCGAGTAGTTGGAGTTGAGGTACAGATCAGCCATGATCTTATAGAATGATGGAACAAGCTCGAGGCGCTGAATAGCCTACCCCTGTTCCTATGTTTCTAATTCATCAGCAATGATTTATTGTCAGCCTGGCTCAGCCAGTCCCTCTTTTTCTCTCTCTCTCTCTCTCTCTCTCTCTCTCTTTCTCTCTTGCCTCTGGATCAGACAGGTTGTGTGTTCACACCCCGCGCTGTATTATCTGGAGGTTTGGGACATCCTCCCAACATGAAAGGCTTAAACAGCCGGGTTCCTAGTTACTGCGAGGTGAACCATTAACGGCAATTTGTTGCTCTTGTTGTTGTTGAATGCAGCAACAGCAGCTAGTGTTTGCACAGCCTTTACGTGGGGCGACATCTCGGAGCGCTGTATAGCGGCAGGTACGGACACTGAGTATGGGGGTGTGGGAGGGAGGGAGGAGGGGTGTTTACCCTGGACATGGTCCGAGAGCCAGGTTTTAAAGGTGGGACGTGAAAAGCGATGAGGGCGAAGCCGGCGAGGATAGAGGGAGGGAGTTAGGGAGGTTCGGGATGTAGAATTGTGAAGTGGAAGGGGGAGGGGGAGAGTGGAGGGAGGAGGAATGTGGTCTGAACCTTGATGTGTTTTTCTCTTGATTCCAGATGGAGCATGACTCCCCCCACAGTGAATGCGTATTACCTGCCCACCAAAAACGAGATCGTCTTCCCGGCCGGCATTTTGCAAGCGCCCTTCTACGCCAAAAACAGTCCAAAGTGAGCGACTCGCTGCGGAACGACATGCGTTTCAACACAGGCTCAAACATCCATTTCCACAGCCCATCTCATTGATTCGCGTCCTGTTAATTTTATGTGCGTTTCGCCCACAAAACACACAGTCACTCCACTTCACGGTGTGTTCTGTGAAGCGCTTTGAGGCATCTCGAAGACGTGCTAAGGCGCTGTATCAAATACAAGGATTATTATTATTTTGTCACAGTGTCCCTCCACCTCGCTCTCGCTCTCCCTCCCTCACCTCATTCAAGATACATCTCGATACAAGATACATCTCGGGACCTTCCTCTCCCTTTGACCCCACTTTCGGTTCCCTTTCCCACCGCCCCATCAGGTGCCTAGCCATTACCGTTAAGCTCCTTTGGACGTCTTTCCGAAAGGCGCTATTTGTTTGTGGGACCTCCCGATGTGCACAAATCGGCTGCCTCATTCGCACACAAATTACCACCCAGTCACACCAGTCTACAGTAAAAATCCCGTGAATCGCTTTGAGACGTCTCGACGACGTGATAAGGCTCTGTATCAAACACGAGCGCTGTATGAAATATTCTAAATGACATGTTGAATACTTGGGCGTTCAAATCACCGACATTTTCTCTTCCGTTTTCGAATGGTGGGGGGAAAACACAACCACTGCAGATCGCTCAACTTTGGTGGCATTGGAGTCGTGATGGGCCACGAGTTAACACACGCCTTCGATGACCAAGGTATTAGCAACTCGCAGCATCTCACTTGAATTATTGTGCTGTGAGGCATCACTTTGGGCCCTAACTTCTGGAAATCTCTGCCTCAATCCCTCCGCATCACCTCCTTCTCTCCACCCCATCCCCACTCCTCCTCCTTTATCTATCTTTAAATAAATAAATATATTAACTACAGCTGTATAACCACTGCAGTTGTGTAAGGGGGAGCCCAGTGGCTTCTAGGTGCGGAATCCCTGACTATCCAGCGCCTTGGGAGGTCCTCCTGATGTCGGAGGCGCTGTACAATTGGAAAATGTTGTGGCTACTGCTGTTTTACGCCACGGTTTCTGGTCATAGGGAGAGAGTACGACAAGGACGGCAACTTGCGTCCCTGGTGGCAGAACTCGTCAGTGGAGAACTTCAAGAACCGGACGGAGTGCATGGTGAAGCAGTACAGCCGCTACACGGTGAACGGCGAACACGTGAACGGCAAACAGACGCTCGGCGAGAACATCGCCGACAACGGCGGCCTCAAGGCTGCCTATCACGTACGTCTGTCTGCGCCCGCGCCCGGGGTCGCTACTGATAAAATCGAGTTCAAAAAATATTAATAATTAATATTCAACAACTTGCGCCTGCAAAACAGACAGTCCCTACACTTTACAGTATATCCTGTGAAGCGCTTTGAGACGTCTCAAGGCACTGTATCAAATGCAAGGATTATTATTTTTTATTATTTAGCGTTTATATCGCGCTGTTCAGCGTCCGGAGCACTTTATAAATGCGATCATAAATATGGTAAAGAATTATCAATAATGAATTAGTATTGCTAATAATGAATTCATTTGTAATAAACACAAATAATAAAGTTCCTGGTTTGAATAAATAATTAATAGTCATAAGTTAAATGGTTTATTTCAATAATAAATTGCAATTTATAATATATTGTTAGTATTAGTTTATTTGTTATTGTCGATTATAAATTATGGTATCAATGTAATATATTATAATAACAATTATTAGTTTTATAATAATTTAAATCCTAAATGATTCTAATTCTATTATTTTAGCGTTAAAATTTGGGGGTATATATTTATCGATTAAATAATAATTAAATACAAAATAAATGTTTTGGGTTGTGCACGGTTTGCGATTAACGTAAAGCTGCCTTTCTAAACTAGAGTTTACGCTGCCGTGCGCAATGGGCTGCCGCGTTTCGCCCACAAAACACACCGCCAATTCACTTTATGGTATATTCTGAGAAGCGCTTTGAGACGTCTCGAAGACGTAACCCGGCGCTACATCAAAATGCGAGGACTGTTATTATTATCATTTATGTAGAATTGGAGCTGAATGCGTTTTATGCCAATTTCAGGCGTACACAAATTGGGTGAGAAAGAATGGGAAAGAAGTCCAGCTGCCTGTCATCGAACTCACCAACCAACAGCTATTTTTCGTCGGGTTTGCACAGGTAAGTAAGCACAACGCGGATCACCGTGAAAATCGTGCTCCTCTTTCTTTACACGAGTCCCAGTGTCCTGGCCTCGACCACCTTTCCTGGCAACCCAGTCCCGGTCGTTGATTGCCGTCTGAGTAGAGATAGACTTGAGCGCTCAAATGGTAGTGTGGAGTCCTGCAGTGTAGTGGTTAGCGCAGCTCACCTCACAAGCGAGAGGACCCAGGTTTGATTACCAGGCGGGACAGGACCGTAGGCAAGTTTTCCTTTGCTCCACACGGTGCTGTTTACCCGGCAATAAGGAGGAACCCGGTTGTTAGTCGATTGGCGGATTGCTTTCCGACGGTAATAATCCCTCAAAAAAAAATGTGGTCGCTCAATCCACGACTCTTTGTGGGGATGCTGCTGTGCGCAATTGGCTGCCATGTTTCGCCCATGAAATATAGAGTCACTGTACTTTACAGTATATCCTGTGAAGCGCTTTGAGACGCCTCAACCACACGATTTTTTTTAATGGTTTCTGTACTGAATGCGCCTTCGCCTGGACTCATCAAATGTCTCCGGTGTCCATCAGGTGTGGTGTTCGGTGCGGACCCCTGAGAGCGCTCACGAGGGTTTGATCACGGACCCCCACAGCCCGGCCAGGGTCCGAGTCATCGGGACCCTCTCCAACTCCAAAGACTTTGCCGAACATTTCAATTGCCCCGTGGGGTCCCCGATGAACCCCGGAAAGCGGTGTGAGGTGTGGTAATCAGGCAGTGCTGGCGGGGGTGGGGTGGGGGGGCGGAGAGAAGGTTGATTGTGTTTTTTTGGGGTGGGAGGGGGCGGGAGTGGGGGACAGCTTGTGGTTTGGTTGTCTGTCCGAACGACGTAACATTACACACTGGATCATTCCCACAGCGATTTTTTTTTTCTTTTTTGGTTGGGGTGGGGGGAATTATACCGAGATATTCCCCCTCCCCCGAACGTACATTATATCATGCACTTTTTTTTGTAGCAGACACACGTTGAAAGGGTTATTAAAAGCCGAGAGGATATAGACAGTACAGCAACAACAACTTGCGTTTCGCCCACAAATATACGGTCAATTCACTATTCTGTGAAGCGCTTTGAGACATTGAGAAGACGTGAAAAGTGCTATATCCAATACAAGGATTATTATAATATTATATAGCGCTCTTCACGTGGGGTAGCGTTAATGTGGAGGGTGCGTACAGGGTGTTTGTGCAGATTTTAATTTTAGCCACGAGAACCCAGTCTCTCGCTCAGGGCTGAGCTGTAGTTTGGTTTAGCCAATAATGACCTTTTTATTCTTGGCCCCTCTGGAAGATTCACACCATCTGTGTGTGTGTGTGTGTGTGTGTGTCTGATGGTCGTTGCAAGTCTCCCAGAGAGAGAGCATGAGAGACACGCGCGCGCGCACACACAGGTGCGAACATCCGAACGCAAGCGCACACGCGTGCACACACGTGAACACACGCAAGTGTACGCATACACACACACGCGCGCGCGCGAGTGTACACATGAACACACGCGCACAAGGAGTGTTTGTGTCACGGGTACGTCGGTGCCAATGCTCACCAGGCATGTTAGTTTCCGACGACTTTGTTTGGCTCTGGAGTATTTGGGATGGGGAGGGGCTGGAGTCTGTGATTGCCAGTGTATTGGGGTGGGGGGGGGAGGGCGGGAGAGAGGAAAGGAAGGGGGTTATCTTTAGGATTTGATTGTCAGAGCCGAGTGCGCTGTGACTGACTTAAACGAGCTGCTCGTGGCTGTGGCGGAAAGGTGGCAGATCGCCCGGGAGCGTCCTCTCCCCCCACCCCCCCCCCCCCCCCCCCGCGCGCTCTCCTTTTGGCGTGAAAACCATGGCGTTCCACTTCCCGCTTCCCGAGCGACAATTCCAGCTGGAGCAGAGTCGGGTATCTTCATTTCTCTCTCTCTCTCCTCAATCTCTCTCTCTCTCTCTTCAATCTCTCTCTCCCCGCCCCGACTCTCTCCCTCTCTCTTCGCCCCCACCTCCCCAACTCTCTCCGCCCACACTCTCCCCCTCTGTCTCTCTCTCTCTCTCTCTCTCGCGCTCTCCCTCCTTTTTCCTCAATTGCCCCCGCCCCATTTGGCCCAGGACGTGACTTTGCCCCTGAGCCCACCTCCACCCCGTCACCGCTGATTGTCTCTGCTCTTGTGCGTGTTCGTGTCTGTGCGCGTTGCACCGCTCGTGTCCGTGGGTGTGTCCGTGTCCGTGTCCGTGCGCTCGCGTGTGTCCGTGTGACTTCCCAGCCACTGACTAGTCGGGCCAAACGGTCTGTTTGCGTGTTGTAGCATTCCGTGTGTCCCAGGCTTTGCGAACTCACTTCCAACGTCAACAGCAACAGCAAACAACGGCATTTCTATAAGCATATGTTTTGCCTCACAATTTCCATTTGAAACCCAAGTGTCACCCAAACAACAGATGTACAATAGTGATGGTGACTCGCAATACACTTTCCGTCTACGACATCTCGAAGATAAGCTCATACCTGCTCTCCCCACCCCCCCCTCCCACCCACCGCCCCCAAACCACTTCACTTTCACTTGGTACAGAGCGCTGAAAAAAATTCGGACAGAGTGACGGAGAGAGCGAGAGAGAGAGAAACAGGCAGGCGGGTAGAGACAGACAGAGGGAGACAGACAGACAGACAGACAGGGAGAGACAGTGACAGACAGACAGAGGAAGACAGAAAGGGAGAGAGACAGGCAGACAGACAGGGAGACACAGACAGACGGAGACAGGGAGAATGACAGACAGACAGGGAGAGATAGACAGACTGAGAAGAGACAGACAGACAGACACAGACAGACAGGCAGATGCCTTGGGTTATTCTGGTTTTGTAGATTTTAGAATATGGGGAGTTTCAATTTATTTTTCATACCAATACACAAGGGATGTTCAGTTTGCGCTGGGGGGCGGGGGGCGGCAGTGTGTCACTCTTCATTTTTTTTGGTTAAGCTACTCTTCCTACCATTTATGTCTGTCCCAATTTTATTAATGTTATTTTCTGTGTGTGTGTGTGTGTGTGTGGTGGTGAGGGGGGGGCGCGGGGTGGGTGGGGGGGGAATATCTTGCATTAGAAAAGCCTTATTCTTGAAAAGATTGTTAGTTGTTTCGGTTTCTTCAGAAACTTTGACCTGAGAGAGAGAGAGAGAGAGATTATGTGTGTGTGAGAGCGAGAGAGAGAGATTATGTGCGTGAGAGAGAGAGAGATGAGAGAGAGAAATTAAGAAAGGGGAAGAGAGAGAGAGAGAGAGAGAGAGAATAGCGATTGAACAGCGTTTATTCATCAACAAGAATATATTTGAAACGCCTTAAAAAAAAACACTTGTCTTTGTCGGTGACGAGTCAATTTTTCTGTTATCCAAAGATAATTGTGAGCTGATTTGTGTGCGGGGCCCGATACGACACAAAGCAAAATTGCTGCTTGTCACGTGCGAGCCAAAGTGCCATGTGCCTCGAAGCATCCTTTTAATTTCCTGTAAAAAGTCACGGCCGAACAGGGCCGAGATTCCACCCTCTCTCTTCCACCCCCACCCCAACCCCACCGCCCCACCCCACCGCCACCACCATCACCAACAAACAACAAGGACGACGACAACAAATTGTGTTCACACCGCCCCCTGCCCGTCGGGAGGACGTCCCGAGGACCTGGACAGTCAAGGATTTTGCCCCTGAGCTGGGGCTTGGAATGGGGAGGGGTGGAAAAGCCAGGGAGGGTGGGTTGGTGGGTGGGGGTGGGGGAGAGAGGCCGAAGGTGCAGGCAAAGAAGGGGGTCTTGAGATGGACCCAAGAAACCCAACGGAGATTGAATTGAGGTGTTTTGACACAGTTCTGCGCCGTCTTAAATTTTACCTCGGGTTTTAACCCACGGGTGGAATTTCAGCCCCCTTCCTCCCCGTGAAAAATAATCTTTCACAACACGGAGCAACGTCACACTGTGATTAAATATTAACGCATTTATAATATATATATTCCTAACCGTGTTCCCTTTTAATGCGTTTACGGAACCCGAGTGAACAGTCGACAAAAAGAAACATTTTATATACATATATGTGTATTATGTATGTATGAAAAGTATTTTTTTGTGGGGGAGGTTTCCTTTTGATTTTTATTTTTGTAATTTCCAAAAGTTTTAAGAGGCTCGACTTACGAGGCGGGGGGTGGGGGGGGTGGGGTGGGTGGGGGGATGGGGTGGGTGGGGGGGTAGGGGGAGAGATTTACTTTGACGTGTGGCATTTCTTACCTTACTGGGGAGTCTTTCGATGGGAGAGTTTTTGTTTTCGATGACTGTTAACCGTGAAACCCACTCGGCGGGTGTGGATGGTAAAACTGTATATTTTTGGAGCAGGCGTGTGTCTGACACACGCAGAAACCCATCACCGTTGCTTAAGAGTAATCCAAACCCAACTGAGAATTCCATGCATCCCACCGAGATGTGGAACTCCCCGAGACAGATTGTTGCAGTGGAATGCGTGCTCTCTCCCTGGAGGGATGCATCCCGCTTTACTTAATTCAGGAAGAGTATTAGGCGCAGGTTGGCAAGAGCCAAGGCTTTGGGACCCCAGAGTGTGTGTTGGGGGTAACGGCTGGAGTCTGACCAGCTAAAACCACGTAGCACTGCCTGGCAAGCTTTCCTGCTGCTTGTCCAGCTAGGACCACCCTACCTGTTAGGGGGTTGACTTGCGGGATAGAACGACTGCTCTGGGATTGCAATCCGGAATTGTGGTGGGTGGGGGAGGCCTGTGGGGTCGGGGCAGGGGGAGAGAGGAAAGAGGGGAAAACTCCTCCCTGTTAATCGGAATTGTGTCATTCCAAATTGGTCCATTCATTTACTGCGTGGAGTTCCCGCAGTTTTGGGGGGCTGGTGCGTGTGTGTGGGGGGGGGGGGGGGGGGCGGTGTGGGGGGAGAGAGGGAGGGGTACTCCCAGTTTGTCATGGGAAGGGGATTGAGGCCGGGAGAGGAAGAAATGAAGAAATGCCGCAGTTTAGACTCTTCTCCCCCCCCACCCCTCCCCACCCCCCGAAATTCTATCGCCCAACCCCCAAAAGATCTGCAAAAAAATTGAATAGAAGATAATAATTCCGATGGGTTGCTGTAAAATTTCAGGTGTGGTTTGGTCGAAAATGTTTTGATGTCGGAAAAGTGAACGTGGACAAAAAAAAGAGGAGAAAATCCTACCTTTTTCCCCAGTGCTTAACTATAAATCCTAATAAAGTTTGGAAAAAAAAATGAAACTGGATCCAAATGAATTTTTTCTTGTTCTCTCTCCATCTTCTGTCCTTCGGATGAGAGGTTAAACCTCACTCCTCATCTGCCTGTTCTCTCTCAAGGCGCTATATCAAATGGAAGGATTATTATTGTCTCCCTCCTCTTATAACTTTACAGCGCACCTTAACAGAACAAATAGTAACAATAATAATCTTTACATACATAGACTGAGAGTGGGTTTAATTCTGATATTTTCCATTCCGTCTGCAGAGCAGAAAGCAATAGATACTCGAAATCTCATTGCGTTTCTTATATCCAAGACATAAGGGGAAAAACTCTGCTCGATATTCAGATAAATATCTAAGCAGGAAATCTACAAATTAGGATTGAAGCAGCCTCTCCAAGATTTACACAGAAGAACTGTAAACGGATCAGTGAGTAAACACAGACCTAAATTTTAATTCATTAATTAATCCTTACACTTGATTTTTAAAAATATATAGAGATTTATTTATTGGTAGAATATATACATTTACATTTATATCAAAGAGTGGAATCCTGTAGCTCAGTGGTTAGAGCACTCGCCTCGCAAGCGAGAGGACCTGGGCCGGACAAAATGTTGGGCAAGTTTCCTTACTCCACACACCTCTCTTTACCCA